ACACAGAAGCCATGGGGAAATGATAGACGATGTGAATCAGTAATAGCACGGAAGAATACTCGTCAAGCGATAGCTCTGCACTACAGGACGACACTATCCACAGTTGGGGAGGGAATTACAGGAATTCTTTCATCTCAACACAGAGTTCGACAAGAAGCCACAGTTCGAAACTGTTCAAACCGAGGAGACATCGATTGCGATCCAGCCTGTCTTTATCCAGTCGCGTCGTAAATGACTGCAACCGCCTTCCGGAGTCTATCATCGATGCCGAGACCGAGAAACGTTTCAAGCATTTGTCGGATTCTCATCTTAGTTTATGGGGATTCAGCTGTTTCCATTGCAGATTTAGTTGTTCTCTGTGGGACGTTGTTTCGCAATGATCCCGGCTATCTCCGCAACGATCGGGAAGTGACGGAGTTGACAAAGGACCTTCCTGCTCTCAATCTTCCAATGATTCACTGATAGATACGCCAGCACGGTGGAAAATTGTATTCCATTTTCCTCTTATCGGAGAACCTGTCAATAAATAAATAATGTATTCTCGAATTTATCGAGGAACGCCAAATCAGGCATGGTAATAATTTACAAGCAGTTATGTTTCGCAATAGACACGTTACTATGTATGTAATCGGCAGTGGTGGAAGTTGTACATAATACAAAAGGAAAAGAAATAATCGTGAGGAACATTATCCTTAGTGCTTGACGCTAATCTGGGTTCATGTTTACATAGTTTAAACAGTCAAGGCACCATAAATGTAGCGTAGACGGTAGGTGTAGACAGAGAGTATCTTAAGGCCTTCACGTCGTCTAATGTACGTAAAAACGTCGTAAACCGCCGTAAAAACGGCGTATTGCCCTAACTTTTCCATTAGATCGTTTCTAGTCCGGAATCGTTATACAGCGTCGTATTATGCGAAGCGGGTTTTTCTTGTACGTCTCGAGGAAATATTGAAATGACTAGTTAACTTGCCAGTGTGTAGTTTTGGACTGACTTTATTCAGTGGCGAATCACGTCCGCCACGTCGCAGTATTGTTACACGGACTTTTGTAGCTTTTTATAGGAAGAACGCCTGCCGGGCGACAACAAATGCTTTTCCCATGTAATAGTATCACTCGTGGAATGCCCGCAGCGTTTGTGATGATGCCTTTAATTTGTTGGACTTCATAACCCGTGCGCCTACGTGGTTTGGGAATGAATTTTGGGCTACGCGAACTCCCCCATCCCGCCCGACTACGGAGGATGAATCTTTTCCCCTTAGACTATCGCCGACTTCGCGGAGACCTCATCTATACTAGGCGTATTCTACGAGGAGAATTGGGAAACGAGCTGAGGCAGTTCTTTCAGCCTAGGCTTGGCAGTTCGACTCGATGTCAGCTGGAAGCTGTTTAAAAGTCCGTTCAGACATTGCTCTCTCTACTCGAGTAATTAATGACTGGAATCAACTGCCGGACCAGATTATCTGTGCGCAGTCAGAAGCGAGCTTCAAACGTTTACTAGACACCTACCTACTGGGTACTCCAGGATCCTGCAGGACTGACACTACATCCTGAGCTATGCCACAACTACCACACCTGCAATCCTTGGAAGATCGGAAAGTGAAGGAGCTGACACAGGACCTCCCTTCTGCTCTCTACCACTCGAGGAACCCAATGAAACTGCTCTATCGAGGAATTCGTGGGGAATTGATTTTTACTTTCCTTTGCTAACAGGAATGTTTGGTCCACACTTGTCATGGCACTTAGTCCTGATAAGCCAGCTAGTCTTCGCGGTCACTCCATCGAGCTACACAAACCGCGACCCGATTAGGTTAGGGCAGATACCCTTCTACTTCGCGACTTGTCGAACGCTAGGACTGACCTCCAGAGGTCATGGTTGGCGCATCCGTTGTACAAAGTTTATGGTTGTCAGCCAGATCCCAGCGCGATAGATCGGTCTCTGTTAGCTCAGGCTCGACCTGTCTTTGGGAAAGTCGGAAGAAGATAGCTACATGGACAAGATATACGTTTATCAAAATGTACAGTCCCACTAAGTAAAGGTTCTAGGCAGGGGGAGAAGTGTGGTCGTCACAGCAGCTGTCGTTAGCGCTCTTCGAGACGGAAAATGGAAACGCGCGAAGTGCGATCCGTCCGGTTGCATCAAACACACCTAGTCCACGTTCCAACATACAAGCATATTACTTTGCCTAAGTACAAGGTGAAACGCTATATTTTAAAATAGTTTACACATCGTGTCCAGACAACCGGGGGATCCGCAAGTTGCTACACAGTTCCCCCGATAGGTAACCGGGGGGTGACCGATCTACGTGTAAGCTGTCTTCACCGGCTAGCCTTCTGCGAGACCAGTTGGTGGGACCTGAAGCAGTTGCTGGGGGAGAACCCATGCTATCGAACCCTAGCTGGCTAACGCGTGTCGTCCCTTAAAATGCCGATAAAAGAAAAGTGGGATGTGTGTGGCGTGTGATCACTTGTGTCTGACCACGTGCGTGTTCTCCGATTCGCAACATGGAAGTAAGAAGAAACACTTGGAGGTCATGCATACAGAGATGATGACAGCGATGAACGGGAGACTCACCAAATAGGTGGTGAAAAGCTAACTAAACAACTTCATCTATTTTCATAAGGCTTCCTCCGTTTTTATTCCAGTTCTCAAAACGTTTGCGTTATTTTCCGTTTCCGAAACAGTGGTTTTCAGTTTTCGGAAAGTGCTGGGGCGAAAGGAGATCTGAAAATGCCATTAGAAGCCAAAATGTTAAATCAAAATTTTACTAAATGTGACGGCCAGTGATCACAACGACCAAACCTAGTTACCGTTTTTTAGCTTGGTGGAGTCGGGGATTTCCGTTGGCGGCTTACCGGTTGTAGGCTTGCTGTCTGGGGTAGGCATTTCCTCCATAGGCCCGTAGCCAAAACGTAACAAACTTGTCTTGTAATCTGACGACGCGGGTTCGAGCCTGGGTACGGACAGGGCGTCCATCACGGTATCTATAACCCACGTGCGACCGTTGGGGGTTGTGCGGTAGCGGCGTACTGCTAATTTCTTTCCTTTGAATTGATTCGTCGAAGGACAAAGGACTGGAGTTGTCGTTCGGATCTGGTTCGACGTGAACAACTTTGTGACGGTCGACCGAGACACTTGCCGTTGCGCTCGAAGATGCGATCATTACGCCGTATGACCTTTACTGGATCTTTCTTTGATCGTTCGATTGGTCTGCGTAGACCGTCGATACGTATGAACGGAATCTAGGCAATTTTGCCCACATTGCTTCCAATACAATCTGTTTTGTGCAGTTGCTTCGAAGAATTCATTACCAGCACGCCTGCACGCTGTGCGGACGCTTCGCCTCCACTCGACCTCCACCGGCCTCATGTGGGCTGAGTATACCGCGAGGACGCCCACCCCTACGCAGATACGAACCGGCGACCTAAGGATTGCAAGTCTGGCACGCAATCCTTTCGGCCACCTACCGATGCAGTTGCTTCTAGTTTTGTATGCCACTAACAACGATGGTGGATCGCCCATCGACTTCAAGCTCATGGGGTAGTAGCACATGTAGTCGTGAGTGCCTCAGCCAAGCCGGCCTCGTAAGCCAAAGGAATTTTACGTTACTCTCGAGAATCAGATTCATCTAATCACAGGAGTTAGGTGTGCCTCCTTTTTTGTAAACTCGATCACCATCGGGTTGCATACGGGGCATTGCACGCGTTAAGTGACGTATATATATAAATATAAATTTATATACAAGTAAATAAATAAATAAATATATGTATATAGAACTGTCTGCGAATAGACATAAAGCCATCAGAAACCATGGGAATCAAAAGGTGAGAAATACTAAAAGAAAGCACAACACAACACATTAAAGCCCATGGTTTCGTCAGAGGGCGAGATACTACCCGGTTGCCCAAACCGAAGTAGGATGTTGACTTAGGAGACACCACCCCGAGCCTTTGGCTGAATAGGCTGCCCGCAAGTCAGCGGAGCAAATTCAAGGAATCGCGCCCATTGGGAGCCGGAGACTGATTGCTCAGTTCATGCGCCTTTCGTTTGTTTCTTTGTCAAACAGGGGCCCAATGCTCCCCAGAATTACAGCAAAAATTTGCTGGAATACATTGCTTCGCCGGGATGAAGCAAGGGGCAGTGACTTTATTTAGTGGCGAGTCACGTCCGCCACGTCACAGTGTTGTTAAACGGACATATGTGGCTTTTTATAAAGAAAACGCTTGCCATGCGAAAACCCACCACGTCCTGGAACACTGCTGCCGAATCATTTGCTGGAACGGGAAAATCCCGAACCACCCAGCTGACACCACGAGAAGGTTGTTCGGCAAGCAAGTGACGCATAGCATATCCGAAATGCATGCATTTCTGCCCTAGACAGATATTTTCTTGTTTCATCAACTTAACAGCTGAAGGCTAATGTTGCATCGCTTCAGGCACATGGACCACGTACATTCCGTGTTTCGGTCATTGTACTGAGGGTGTTGTGGGGAGGCACACGTTGACCAGTATCGGGAAATTAGTTCTCACCTCTAGATCGATTGCTATTGATTCACATCGCCTTATAAGCTGGCGTCCGTGCGACACTACCTGTTTGAAGATGACAGGATGTTGTACGCACTTGGCTTCATTTGCGTGACTCGTCTCTCGACTAGACTGTCCATCTAATATGGGCACGGTGCTGACATGTCTGTGGAATACTTCAGTTATGATGCGAGGCAGTGCTGTGTTATGAGGTCTGTTTCACCAAACTCATACTATCTTCATGTGACGGTCAGCCGTTCGCGACCATGCGATCTTGGAGAGCTTTGCTCGTCTTGACTGAGTTTATTTGTACAAAACATTCATTTACTATATTAGGTTTTTGTTCCCCTTCTATTCACTGCTTGAGTCATCTGCATACTTTGCTGATATACTGCTGTTATTTTTGACAGTGATGATGGTGATTTGATTAAACAGTGCCGTTTTTTGAATTTGTCTTTTCCTTTTGTCTTTTAATTAGTTCGAGAAGGGACTACTCAAGTATTTGCCCGAATCGGACGCAGAAATTATTTGTGTATTGCGGCGAAAGTATCTGCGCACCATCAAAGAATTCCGCCAGTCAAAACAATGTAGAACAATTCTTCGTCAGTGTCTACAGCGTATTAGCGCACAACCAAATCGTATCTACATGATTTTGAATGAACTGAAATCCACTTTGAAGCTACGGACAACACATATCTCTTTGAACATTTCTCCAAGTAATGGTAGCTCTTCCACTAATGGGCAACCCCAAAAAAGCACGTCAACCACCCCTAAACCGACGGTTGCAACAGGTGAGTTCAACAACGATTTTACAAATAGTATTGTTCTTGTTGCACCTTTACTGATGCGTATACCGGGGCATTTTATTCCTTAGATGAAACCTTTGTCCGCTTTCTTTCGCATGTGTTACTTAGCAAAATCTTCGCTCACATGCGAACGTGAATCATGGCGGTATTCGGTCCGTTCTATGTTGGGTTATGGGATGCCGCGCCAGCCATGTCAAGGACCACATGGGCCTTGTTAGTTGTCATGAGTGTCGCACATAATAACAAATTGTAGTCTCTTATACTTGGCGACATCCGTTTCCCGGTTTATGTCTTTGTGATTGCGAGCAGCCACAGAACGCTTGCGCCTACTGTGGGATCCTGAGTGGATTGCGCTGCACCACCAACAACTCCATATCCAAACCCAATTTACAGTATAATCCTTGCCGAACAACCTTCACATGGTGCCAGCTGGGGCTTTCGGGTTTCTCCCGTTCCAGCAAATGCTTCAGCGGCAGTTTTCCAGGACATGGCGCGTTTTCGCATGGCAAGCGTTCTCCTCCATAAAAGGCTACCTCTGTCCGTTTAACAACACTACGACGTGGCGGATGTGACCTGATACTAAATAAAGTCACTGCTCCTTACTTCATAGTGATGAAGCATTGTATTCCTGCAGCCTAATGCTGAAATTGTGGGGAGCATTGGGACCCTGTTTGGCAAACGAACAAACAAAATGCCTAAGGACTGAGTAGTCAGTCATCGGTTCCCAAGGGGCGCGATTCCATGAATTCGCTCCGCTGCCTTACCGACATGGTATTCGGTCAAAGGCTTGGGGTCGTGCTCCCTAAGACAACACCCTTTCTCGGCTTGGGCAACCGGGTTGTGTCTTTGTGGTGCACCAATAGTGAGTAGTATGGTGAACCGAGCAGACGCGCTGAACTCAGTGAATAATAGATCACCGCGGGCGACGGGCTGTAGTGCACTATTCAACTAGCCCTGAAAATGGATGACGCTGGAGCCTTGAACCTATACCGTACCGTCACGGCCAGCTGGAGCGATAGCACAAGGCGCAGCATGCAATCAAATGGCACCACGAATGATGTGCGCAAATCATTCCGACCGTTTTACGTTAGAAATGTTATACCATGTATACGTTCGTTCCATTAATACAACTCGTTCGCACTATGTCGCCTTTTCCACAAGCCTCCTAAGGGGAGACCCCCTGTGGTGAACAAATCATTCACGCATTCAGTATTTTGAGACATTGGATTTTATTCTTGTTTTATCTTCCGACCGTCCATTTATTTAACCGATTGTGCGTACCGATCACTTGCTCCTCTGGTTGGTCACGCTGCCAGATCCGCGAAGTGCAAGATGGGTTTCGTCGAGGTCGGGGCTACATCGATCACATCTTCACATTGCGTCAATTCTTTTAGCACCTCGCCATTTTTATTGGCGACCCACCGTTGTCGTGTTTCTCGACATCAGAAGTACCTTTGGGACTGTCTGCTGAGAAAAGGTGTGCCCGATAAATACATAAACCTTATCAAAGCGCTATACGCGCATACTTCGGGCAGAATGAGGGTTTATTGCAAACTGTGGCCGCCCCCTCAGTATCTACAGCGGTGTGAGACAAGGTTTCCCACTGTCACGTTTCCTATTTCACTTTGCATTTGACGCAGTTATGGAAATAGCGTTCGCTGGTCACGATCTAGAAGGTGTGGAGCTACTTCCTGGTGACCGACTTCTTGACTTGGAGTATGCGGTTGATATTGCCCTTATCTGTGACAGCTCCCAAACATGCCAAGCAGCACTGGACCGATTAGCATTAGCTGCCAATCGTTTTGGGCTATGCTTGGCTCCATCGAAATGCAAAGTACTTCTCCAAGATTGGCAGGAACCCACCCTTGCGCTGACCCTTGGTGGTGATCAGCTAGAAGTCGTTCAGAAATTCAAGTACATGGACAGCTATATTAGCGAAGAGGAGATTACCAACCGTATAGCGAAAGCTCGAGATGCTTTTGCCAATCTTTGCCACCTGTGTCGCAGACTCAGCATCACTCTCGCCCTGAAGGGCAGAGACGGCACCCGTCCGTTCAACTCTCTTATACGGTTGTGAGTGCTGGGCCATCAGGTCAACAAACATTAAGAGGCTAATCACGTTCTACCATCGCTGCCTTTGCAGCTTAGCTCATATCTGGTGGGAGCACCGCGTGAGCAATGAGCGTGTTCGGCGTCGCGTATTTGGTGCAGGAAGAGCGAGTGAGCCGCTCAGCACCATTATATCACCCACCAGGCTCCGATGGCTGGGCCACGTGTTGCACATGCCAGCACACCGACTCCCGCGACGTACATTGTTTGCGCACTGGGGGTGCGGTTGGAAGAGAAGAAGGGGAGGCCAAGCGATGATGGTCGAGAGAAATGAAAACCATCACTTTGAAGTTAGCGTCCGTTGGTGGTGCATTCCAACTACCTGGCTGGGGTCCTAAGTACGATGAACACGTTTGCTCGGACACACTTGCTGATATGGCGAAGAGCTGGCCCCAATGGCGTTTGTGTTGTGTTTCTTTGTCTATCCCCCTCCCTTTTAGATTCCCAATTCCGATCTCACACGAACTGCATGATATAACAACATTCTACTACCTACTTTTGGATTTTTTGTGCAGTGTAATTTTATACCTTATCTTTTTGTATTTCGACTTATTAGCGGAGGTGTGTTTCTCACCCTCAACTAATGTGCGTTGATGATGGTGATGATGGTCACGCTGCAATACTACTGTCTGCCCGCCACCCAGAGAACGGGCGTGGTGGAACTTGTTCGAGTGGCAATCGAGTTGGTACAGGAGCCAGCGGCGGCGCTGAGAATCGAAGATCAACTAGACAGTGAGCTATTGGACAGGTTAGAAGAGAAGTTGAGGCAGATTACGCAAGACATCGGAGCATTTCGAATTACCCATCATAGGACGCGGCAAAGTGGGCAATGCTACTTTTGTGCGAAACTGGGTCCCTGGAAGCGGCAATGTCCATCAAGGCGCACTACACTCTTTGTACCAAATAAAACTTACAAACTGTATTGTTCTGGTGTTGAAGAGTGCATACTTGGGGCCCTGAACAAAGGTGCAATTGAAACCATGGTAGAGGTGAATGAAGCAGCAGAGAGGGTTTTTAATCGATATGGAAGCCGCAGTCTTCCTGATCAGCCATCGATATTGAGTGAAAACCCAGTCGTGTTTTGTGGTGGTGAAGGCGGTCGATGGTTACGATATGCGCAGAAATGGTATGGCGAAGCACGTGCTTGGCATCAGGAGTCATAAATTCAACCATCTCTTTGTCGTGTCGCCCGACGCGAAACAGACCATTCTGGGGACAGACTTACTCCAAGCCAATCAGGCCATCGTCGACTTGAAACACGTAAAGCTGATGACAAAATACGGCTCTATATCCCTCACTGGTAGAGAAGGATTCACACGGGCGTGCTCAGTCGTTGCCGTTTGACACATTTGGATGGCCCTGCAATCGCTTGTTGGCAAATACAAACTTCTCTTCACAAACGATAACAGCCCTTACGGGTTTTGTGATTGACTCGAAAACACAATTCCGCTTTCGCGGCTGCCGTATCGGCGGCATGAACCCAAAAAACAAGGCGGGTTCAGGAGATGTTGAATGCGGTTGTAATCGAGGAGGCTTAAAGTCCGTATAACTCCCCAGTCATTTTGGTGAATAAGGCCAACGGAAAATACCGCTTTTGCGCTGACTTCAGAAGGCTGAACGCAATATCACTGAGTCGTTTTGTCCCGGTGCCATCAGTCGCAGACATCTTTGATAAACTGCCGAATTCAAAGATATTCGCGCTACTGGATTTGAGGTATGTCTGTTGGCAGCTGGCGATCACACAGGAGGACCGGGAGAAGATCGCGTTTACAGTTGGCGAGAGGTAGTGCCAATTTAAAACGATGCCGTTTGGATTATCTGGTGCACCGTTCACTTCCCGGCGAGAGAATGTGGCCGTTTATGGAGATGGCATCGTAATTTACAGTGAATGGGGAGCAGAACACTGCCGTCATTTGGAAGCAATCTTGCAAGGATCCAACAATTGGGATTACGGATAAATGGTCCTAAATGTCAAGTCGGGAAAACGTCCGTGACACTACTTGGTCACAAGGTGAGTCAGGGTGAGCTGAAATCGCTGCCGGAGAAAATATGGACAGTTCGCGACACCCCAATTCTGACCCCGGAGCGAGGTCTTAGGGCATTTTTGTGTCGCGCCGGATACTACAGTAAATTCGTCACCTTTGTATGACCTGGTAGAAGGGAGAAGAAATTCACGTGTGCACTAAAATCTCAGCGAGCGTTTGACGACACTCAGAAACACACGGGAAAGCTGGATCTTACCTTGAGATTGTCGATCGCCGGAGAAACGTTCACGGTGACCACAGACACAAGTGACGTTGGAATCGGTGCGGTACCGAGGCAAAAAACTGGGGACGATTGAATACGCTAACAGAATTTTAACACCATCGGGGCGCAAGTATTCAACAGTAAAGGAGTGTTTTGCAATTCTTTACGCTCTAGATAAGTGGCGACGACAAATGGGTCAACGCTTTCACATCGAAACAGATCACAAACTCTTGGAATGGATTAGGCCTTCCAAAGACCCCGGAGGCAAGTCGCCTAGGTGAGTGCTGCGCTTACAGGAATACAATTTCACGATAAGCCACGTATCAGGGAGGTACCACGGAATGATAGATCTTTTATCGAGCCTGACGAGTGGCGACGATTTGCCGAACGTTGCCTTCGGTGTCAGTGGTTTGGTGCTAGAGCAGGATGCGGGGAATTTGGCAGCTGAGAAACGAAGGCATAGGCTTCTGAACAGGCTGATAACAGCACGAATAATGAATCAAACTGTAACAGCCAAAATCTAGGGCAACAATTAGGGCCGTTAGCGCAGGACCTGGAAAGTCTGCAACTAAACGAAGCCGGAATTCTGATGTGGACACAAGGAGGCGCTACCCCAGTGCCACTGATCC